GTGTGTATGTGTGCGTGTAAGAGAGAACAGGAGAGAGAGGGAGAGAGAGAATGGGTACACACAAGCGCACGCATACTCGCATATACCTTACGCTTAGTTGCGTAAATCCGTGTATACATAAAGAAAATGGGGCGAATGAGAGAGAAGAGAGAGAGAGAGAGAGAGAAAGAGGAGAAGATTTTACAAATATCTTTTTCTTATTTCGACAGAGTAAGCAATAGAGAGGGGGATAATAAAGAATTCGATTAATTAAATTGCGATTTTTGTATTCGCACAATCACACAATATTTTCTATCGAGAGCTATTTTTCAAACGATCTTCTCTGATATACGGAATTAAACGAAGAATCATCATTGACGAATAGATTTGTTACCGTCGAAACGAATTAAGGAATTAAATTAACGGACACAAGCACATTCGCTCGTTTTATATTTTCCTCGAGCTTATATATACGGAGTTTCGCGATTATGTATCAATATACCACGCATCAATCGATAAGCCATTCTAATCCAGGAGTGAATTCCGTTTCCGCGGCAAGTGAATAATAAGTTTAGGGACCTTCGTGTTGAGTAATTTAGCAATCTCTCATCCTGTGTATCGTATTAATCAAGAGCCATTTCATCGCGGCGGTTCGTCACGAGCAGTACGCGCGTATTTTAGCGATATAAAAGACACACACAAGGAAAACCTATAAGACGAATATATGAGCGAATTTGGGTTCATTAGAGAGCATATGTATATTGTATTTCGAAATATAATGTGATCGAATCTGTTGTCTGAGTTGTCCGAACCTGTTGTTACGTTTTTGCGCTTTTATTATTATTAGTACTATAATTCCACTTCTTCTCGAACGCGAACGATATTATTATTATTATCCATTATTATATTTATTACGATTATATATATTGTAAGTATACGCTATATATAATTAATACGCTACTCAATATTACACACACACACACACATTGTGATAACGTGAGACTCGTTTCTAGTTCGGCTCTTCTAGTCACGTTAATTATTCTA